AATATACATAGTGTGTGTATATATATATTCCAATATACATAGTGTGTATATATATATATTCCAATATACATAGTGTGTGTATATATATATATTCCAATATATATAGTATATCTATCTTAGTATACACCAATTTTTTCCCAAGTATTTGTAGTTTTAAACCAGTGCTGTTTAAGAGCGCTCCAAAATCCAAACATAAATACATTGTTCAGAGATTTTTTTTCTTTCCTACAAGAACTAAATAAAGGTAGATTTAAGTGAGAGGTGGATGGGGAAAACGGACACCGGGCTACACAACACACCAACTGTTTCATCCAACGCTCACCTTCACGGCCACATCAACCCCAAACACCAGGAAGCAGAGCAGCTCCAGGCTCTCGGTCAGGCCACAGGGCGGATTCCAAGCGGGAAGGCGGTACCGCACATCCGACGTGATGGTGAGCGAAGAAGGCTCTTCAACGAAGGCCAAAGCCAGGATTATAGTGATGGTCAAACTCAAAATCCTGTTTGGAGAGAGATGAAATTTAAAAAACAAACAAACAAACAACAAAACAACAAATAAACCCCCCAAAAAACACCCACAAAATGTGTCAAATGAATGACAAAATACTTAAGAGTAAAAGCACTTTCCTTAGAAGTAAACCAAGCTGTATAATAACATATTTAACACAAATGGGTTAGACTAGAAGGCAGCACTTTACTAGTGATGCCTTAAGATTCTTCTAGTTTTTTGGTTTTTCTAATTTTTATAAGCTTTATAAGTAGTTATATAAGTAGAAGTAGATTTTAGAAGCAGCAGCCCTTATTCCTTTACCCTTTAGCACAGTAGTTTACACATTCCTCAACCCCTACATACCCCATTCCATGCTCCCATATTCCCCTGAATTCCAGTAGAAAATGTTTAGTCTCTCTTTAAGAGCAGGCCCTTTTGTTTAAGGACACTTTTGCCCTGGCCTGAACCGCAAAAGTACAGTCAAGAACTGTGTGACTGTGTACCCTTTGTGCTCTGAAGAAGATGAAGATGATGAAGAAAAGTCCCCAGCACCAATTCCAAGGGGGTGGGACAGGGGTGGACCAGGGCAAAAGCTACGGGGTGGACACACTTGGGATTGGACAAGCAATATTATAAATTGTAACACCTGTACACGGCCGGTGCATCTTGTAATCTTATGTCTAGGCACAAATTAAACCCTTTTCTTATCTCCAATTAAACTGCTCTGGAGGTTTTTTTTCCCTCAGCTCCTGCAGGCAACACCAGCATGTTGTTGCCTGTGTTAGTGATGCAACTGCTGACCACCAAACAACCTCAGGTGGTGTTCTTTTGGGACTAACAGCTGCAAAAAAAAAAATCTTACTGTTGTTTAGAATGTTTAGAAATAGACACTTTGAAAACTCTTAACACACAGTGCTGTAAATCGTGCTCACAGTCCATTCATGCAGCAGTCCTACAGCTGTTCCAAAGAGCCACCTACGTGATCACACTTTCATATAACTGGCTGCTCTGCACTTCTGTCATGTTCACATCCCCTTGCTTCCTACAGTAAGTTCTCATTAGGATAAATGCAGAGTCATCTAATTGTTTAACAAAAAAGAAAGATGGAAGAGTAATTTTTCAGAAAGACTTACTCCTAAACGAAAAAGCAAAAGGAATAACCAAGTTCTTACCACTGGCAAGTCCTTGAATAGTACCATCGATAAAGCCACAGGGATTTGGAGTCCACGCGGTGATTTATGGATCGATACTGAAGGCAGGAAGCAAAAAAGGATAATTCAAACATTACATTCAGTCTGCCTCAAAGACAAAGATCAAGTTACCAAAGTAAACAAAATTAAGTACATGTTATTCATTATTAAAGTATAAGTCACCCATGACCATAGATGTAGCCTATGTGTGTGAAAAGGGAAAGATTTTAAAGAAATTCTCCTATCTAAAGACCACAGAGCTGCTCAGGTAATCAAACTGTGTGGGAGACACCTGAAGAAAGCACTGCCATCATTACAAATAACAGCACCTGTAACAAATCAGTGATTACTCCATGTACTTGCCAAAATGATCCACCCACTTAATTCACCTTTCTAGCATTCATTCCACTCCTGGACCTTCTTTTGTCTTTCTTTTCCACAAGATGCAAACAAATTAATCCTGAATATAAGAAACCTCAACATGTGTCTTTGAATAAAACATGCATTAAGGTCAAGGAAGTCCCCATGATCCTTCAGAAAGAATTTTGGCTTTTGCCAAAATCTGCTCAGTCCCTTCTCTGCAATGGCTCCTGGGCTGCTGTTACCCTGAGAAATATCTAATTCTAGAAAGGTGGGCACAGCTTAAATACATCTGATCCCTGGAAACCTCACAACCAAAAGCTATCTCAGTGCAGCAAGAGAGCTCAAAACCTGCCCTCCAGCATTCCCACTGCCTGCAACCACTCACTGGGAGATAACAGATCTCAGAACCTGCAGTAAAGGCCAGTAAAGGAGGGACAAAGAGAGAATGAAGACTTCCAACGGTATCAAGTTCAGCTGAAGCAAAAAAGGCTTCTCACTTGAAGTCAGCCTTAAACTCTTCAGCTTTTACCAGCTCTTAAAGCGCGCAAGTAGTCAGATTGAGAGGCAAATTACACAGGGTTTGCTCAATTTCTCTTAGAAGTAGGTTAGTCACTCTCAAAAAAACCCACAAACAAACCAACCCAAACAAACAAACAAGAAAACCACCATGAAAGCCACTCCACAAAACATCATCTCTTTTGAAAACCTTAAAGAGAAGATTATTTCATTGCGTGGAAAAATGTTTCTCCTGGGCAGAAGTTTACAGATACTTGTGTACCACAGGAATTCGGAATTCTGATTTTGCTTTGTGAATCGAGATGACGTGACATAAAGGCTTCCCGAACACAGAAAAACTTTAAAAGTGGCAGAATGTGTGACAAACATCCAGCACGGGAAGCGTAATATCTCTCAAAGAAGTTACATTTACCTGTATTGCATCTTCAATAAATACTACAGCTTGGTTTATGTAAAGGTCATTATCAGCTCCAGCACCTATGAAGGTAAAAAGAAATAAGAATCACTTGTTTTGGATAAAGCCTACAGCTTCCTTATTAGTTACTAGAAGCTCCACAACAATGGCTTAAGTAGGTAGATTACATTAGTAGTTAAATTGCTACCATAAGGCTACACAGAGACAAGTCCTAACACGCAACATATTTGGCATTCAATCAAATTATTGCTTGACAAAGTGTACAGTCAAGTGAAGCTGGAAAAATCAGGCACCAGTATCCTAGTCATTTTACTTTTGTTGAATAAAGGTACTGTAGTTTAGATTGGTTTTGTTCTCTCCAAAACCACCAGGAATCTCCAGTCAGATGAGAACTAAATAAAATGCATTTTTAATTTGTCCCGAGAGTGTTTATTACCACACCAAACAGATCAGAGTTCAAGACAGAGTAAGGGGTGAAAGTACACAAAATGAAATAAAACATCACTAAATTAGTTACTTATGCCACTTACTTATACTTTTCAAAACCCATTACTAAGAAATCTACATGAAGATATTTATACAAAAAAATAAAAGGCAGCCACTTGTGTTCACTTGAACCAGGGACCTTTGAGGAACTAACCTGGCAATTAAGCCAACGGGAGAAACAAAGGCAATTACAATCAAAATGAGGAAGGAAAAAAAAATATAAAAATAAAAAGCTGAGAGGGGCTAAATTAACAAAAAATATGTGCTAGCATAACCTTCCCACAGAGGGAAAGAGTCCCAAGGAGCACTTCATACCGTCTCCTCCGAGGAGACAGCAATCACAACACGGATACAACAGGAAAGAACCCGTCCCACTACTACCACGATGCTCTCCAGACACCACGCAATGCCACTGATCTGAGTCCCAGACAATTTTATGTTCCCCGTGATTCAATGGTATCAATTTTCTACAAAGACTGCAAGCAATTTTTAAATGTCACCCTTTATCTGAGCATCGGCCACAGCACAGTTTTGTGCTGATCCCGATATGAACCACGGCGCAAGAAAGACTGATCACAGAGACAAGCCAGGCTCACGAAGTAAAGACTTTATCTTTTTCGTGCCATCTCACACTAGAGATAAAGTTGTTTAAAGGAATAGTATTTTTAAAAGGATGGCAAGGGCAGCAAAAGCTTTAGGTTCTTGGAGCACGCAGCAAGCCTAGTGTTGATGGTAGAGATTTTGGAATGGTGGAATCTAAGCAACTGTTCATAGTATAAAAATAAAACAGGGAAATCAGCAAAAAATGTTTAGTTTAGCAATTTCTCCATGCATTCTGCCATGGATATCCAACTTACTCTGCAACTCTTAGTCACGGCAAGTGACACTTAGTCACAAACGATGATTAAAGCCCTTGCTCGGTTCGGGCACACAGGACCCGTCCGAGACCCCGCTGCGCTTCTGGCACCGCACGAACACGCAACAAAAAAAAGAAGCGAAGGTTCGCTTAGGTGATGCGATACCCTAAAAACAAGGAACCTGCGGTCTCCGAATGATTCTATCCCGAGGAGGGAAGGGGTGGGGGGAATTGAGGCACCAGACCGCCGACAGTCACCGGCTTCGAGAGAAAACTCGCCAGCGCTTCAGCAAGAAAAAAAGAATAAAATTACATAAGGAACCCCCGAAGCCCGGGGCTGCAGCGGGACTGAGCTCCGCGACAGCGGCTCGCTCAGCGTCCGGAGCAGCCGGGGCAGGGCTGCGGAGCCCGGGGCTCCAGTGCCGTGTCCTAGTGCCGTGTCCTAGCGCCGTGCCCTAATCCCGCGCCCGCCCCGCTCCCGGGAGCGCTCCAGCCCCGCGGGGAAGCGCCGCCCGCCCCAGCGCCCCGGGCGCTCACTCACCGCGCTCGGCCGAGCGCCACAGCCCGCGGGCCGCCCGCCAGCGCCGCGGGGGCAGCAGCGGCTCCGCCTCAGCGCCGGGATCCATCGGCACCCCCGGCAGCTCCCCCGGCCGCGCTCCCACCGCGCCGCCGGCACGGCACGGGAAGGGACGGGATGGGACGGGACGGGAGAGCCGGGAAGAGGGGGCGGGACGGAGCGGGGATCAACCCGCCCCGGGCGGCTCCGCCCGCTGCATGTGACCGGCTGCGGGGGAGGGCGGGGACCGGCATCTTCCCGGCTCCTCCCGCTGCCGGGATTCAGCGCTGCCCGCGACCATTCATAGAATCATGGAATCAGACGGGTTAGAAAGGACCTCCGAGATCATCGAGTCCAAGCCTTGATCCACGGCAGGATCAAGGTTACTAGATCACGGCACTAAGTGCCACATCCAGTGTCATCTTAAAAACCTCCAGGGACGGAGAATCCACCACTTCCCTGGGCAGCCCATTCCAATGCCTGATTACTCTCTCTGTAAAGAATTTCTTCCTAATATCTAACCTAAACCTCCCCTGGCAGAGCTTAGGACCGTGCCCTCTTGTCCTACTGCTGGTTCCTGGAAGAAGAGACCAACCCCCACCTGGCTACACCCTCCTTTCAGGTGGTTGTAAAGAGTAATGAGGTCTCCCCTCAGCATCCTCTTCTCCAGGCTGAACAACCCCACCTCCCTGAGCCTCTCCTCACAGGACTTGTGCTCGAGTCCCTTCCCCAGCCTTGTTGCTCTTCTCTGGACCTGCTCCAGCCCCTCAATGTCCTTCCTGAACTGAGGGGCCCAGAACTGGACACAGCACTCCAGGGGTGGCCTCACCGGCCCTGAGTCCAGGGGAAGAATCACTTCCCTGGACCTGTTGGCCACACTGTTCCTGATCCAGGCCAGGATCCATTGGCCTTCTTGGCCACCTGGGCACACTGCTGGCTCATGTTCAGCTTCCTGTCGTACCCAGGGTGCCATTTCCCACCCCCACCACTCCTCTCTCCTTCCCAGGCGTAGTTCCCGATTCTCTCTACCTCCTGTGCAGGGAGATGGGGGATGGGGGTTATGGTCAGTCTGCCACAGGCTGGTTGTGCTGCTGCTTGGGGAGAGGAGAGTCCTTCACCTGCTCCAGTGTGGGGTTCCTGTCATGGGAATCAGTCCTCTGCGAGCTTCTCCAACTCGAGCCCTTCCCATGGGCTGCCCTTCTTCAGGAACTGCTCCAGCACAGGCTGCAGAGAACTGGCTGCCTCAGCGTGGGTCCCCTGCAGGGGCACAAGTCTAACCAGGAAACCTGCTCCAGCGTGGGCTACTTGCTCCATGGGTCCATAGATCCTGCCAGGATCCTGCTCCAGCTGTGACCCACAAGGTCACAGTCTCCGCTGGGCATACACCTGCTCCGGTGTGGGGCTCCTCCAGGGGCTGCAGGAGGATCTCTGCTCCCCCATGGACCCCCATGGGCTGCAGGGCACGGCTGCCTCACCACGGGCTGCAGGGGAATCTCAGCTCTGGTGCCTGGAGCACCTCCTGCCCCTCCTTCTCCACTGAGTATGGTGCCTGCAGAGCTGTTCCTATCGCATATTCCCACTCCTCTTGTCTCAGGCCACAGTTACATCTGTGCAGTGTTTTTTTCTTTCTTAAATATGTTATCAGAGGCATTACCACCATTGCTTGTCTTGGCCAGTGGCGGGTCCGTCCTGGAGCCACCTGGCATTGACTCCATTGGACACAGTGGAAGCTTCTGGCAGCTTCTCAAAGAAGCCACTGCTGGAGCCTCCCACCCCCAACTCCCAAAACATGGTCACAAAACCCAATACAAGATATCACTTGTAAAAAGTGACCCCATAATAACCTGGGGTTATTTCCCATTCTCAGTAGGCAATGAAGCACTGCTAAAATTGGAGCTATTTTGGTAACAGTTGAACTAGAGGCATCAGGTGGAACAGACACAGTGAAAATTTCTGGATAGTAAAAGGAAGATGGGGTGGCCTGGTACAATCTGTATTCAGCACGAGCAGGGAAGAAATAAAATGCAATTTGTACATGTGTAAATGCCATTGCTAAAACACACAAGTGTTCTTTCACCAAGTGTCTGAAATATTCAGGGTAACCACACTAACCAGGAGTGCATGTAAACATTGTATTATCCTTGCTACTATTTTTTATTTGAATGAAAGCAGGTGTTTTCTCCTGTCCTCTTCATTGATTGTCAGGAGAGACAAACCAGTAGCTTCAGGAGGGAAAAAAGAAATATGAAGCCTTCAAATATACAATGAATTCTTGAGCTTCTGTCCCAAATTCATCCCCTCCCTCTGTCTGCAATGGGAAGTGGAAGTGCCCAACTAACTGTGAGAGAAGGCACATCTCACCTGGGGTTTTCCAACAGACAAACAAACATTCTTCACACCAGCAGCATCCACTAAGGTAAGTTAGTTATTTGTTTAAATTAATACAATACAATAAACCCACAACAAACAGTGCAGCATCTTTAACTCCAAGTGAATCAACTCTGTCTGGATCATGAAAAACAAATGTGGAGAACGTGCTCTTTAGCAGACATTTCTCACCAGCACAATGCAGGACCATTTTAACAGAAGTCTTACTTGGTCTAAGCTCTTCTGCTGTTTGAGCGTTGTTCAGCCAAACATTAAGAAATGCGTTTCTAGTTTCCCCTCTTAAAATTGCCCCTTTCAAAACAAGTTTTAAAAAAGAAACAGAAACAGCTAAACATTAAATGAAAAGGTAGAAAAGGGACTCAGGCACTGGACACATTTAAAAGATCAGTGAAGTTAAAATTTAAGCTTTGGCAAGCAGGAGGTGTAAGGTGGGTAACACACGAATTGAGCTCAAAGGAAGCTGGGTTTATACTCCATTCTGCAATAGTGAAACAAAACAAGAAGCTGAACTCTTAATTTTGATCCCACTAACAAGGAGATGACCCATCTGCTTCAAGGTAGACATGCTTCCAATACCTTGCTGAATTAGACTTTATGTGATCTTTCAAAACACTGGACCAGTCTATAAAGCAAATGTTAGATAAATAAAAACCATGAAAAATAAGAACCGAGTCAATTAGCATGACAAAATTACAAGTTTATTGCAAAGTAAGATGAGTTTTTGCCCTCAACAGCACATGCCAGAACTGTTAGAATTTTACTTTCAGCTAAATGTTACTCAAAAATCATATCCAAGTTATGAGAACCAAACTTCATGTGTGTATGTGCATTTACTTTCACAAAAGACTACCCTGCATTTATTTATTATTTATTTATGATGGGCTTATCCCAATATTTTAAACTAAGTATTTGAAGGAAATCCTTAATAAATGATTCCTTAGCCAATTTATAGTTTAAGTATATTGGGAATAAACCAGGGAGTCAATTAAAAAAAAAAAAAAAGACTCAACAATTTTTTGGGTCATCGCTGCTCATTATCACAGTATAATCCAGTTTGGAACATTCTGCTTGGCAAATTAATTACCACAGTTAAACAAGACATGAAATCAGTCCATATCTTCACCTGGAGAAATTCCGTCCTTTTTTTCTAGTTTGGATACCTGCAAGTAAAAAAGGAAACCAATTCAACAGTAAAAATGAGCTTGCATTTAATGTCTCCTGTCTTTTCAGACTTCCATCACAAAACAGTGTGGAGCCCAGATTTACCAGGAACCAACAGTGGGACACCCTCTAGGGCACAGCTGAGCTGAACAGGGTGTTAGTTGCAGTTAAAAGGTCAAGCTTTCTTCCCACCCACCCCTCCCTTTGGCTGCCTGCTCCCATCACTTCCCAGTTTTTTGTCACTTTGGTGACTTCATTTGGCTGCCCAAGGAGTGGGACAGGCACCAAAGCCATCTCAGAAGCTGGGAGAAAACAGGGAGGCAGGCAAGACTGCCCCTTTCAGTGACAGCTGTCAGAGCAGATCAGGTTGTAAACCTGGAATCCTGCCCCTAAGAGAGAGCCCGGAATAATTAACATGACCACAGGAAATGGTTTTCATACTCACATACACAGTTCTGTAAAACTGACCTTCACTGTCCTTAAATCTTAAGGAATTACCTTTATTAAGCTAAGCTGTTGTTAAGGCTAACAATATAAATAGTTTCAGAAAGGATTCTACAAACTCAGGGAGAACAGACCAAGAGCACAAACTAAACACAATGTTCTCCATGTTATCCCTAACTCTAGAAAATTCTATTCCACATTCCCCAAATCCCCAAATAGAGGGAGAGACATATAATAAATTCCCTGTTCTTATGTTCCTCCATCAGTATCTGCCACTGGTTGTGAAAGACACACAAACATCAGGTTTTTAGAAGGTTGATAAAACTTTTGGTCATTGTGGAATGACCAGTAAACACTGGAAAAAGCAGAAGGCAGCCTGCAGATACCCGATCGTTGGGGGTGGATGTGCAACCTTGTCTTCTGTTCCTCCAAATTAAGCCAGCTATCGAAATCCCAATGAACATTTTGGCATCTAGAAGTTGCAAAAAGTGCATGCTCTAACCACAAATCCTTTATTTCAGGCACAACTCCAAGGCAGAAGCTACAGACACTGCTACTGGTGCTCTAAACCACCAGAAAGTTCACCCCCTGGGTGGAACCCTCAGTCAGGTAGAGCTGAATGACATTAAGACTCCAAGGGCATATCTAGCAATTCCCAGCAAACACTCTGATCTAAACTTCCTCTTACCCATGTTCCTTCTGCAGCAAATACAAAGGGAATTTTGCACTTAAAAAGAGCAGATAACTAAACTGGTTTGACCACACTACAAACATCCAAAGCAGAAAAACTCTTTCCACAAATCCCAAGGATTTCTCCATCATTAGCACTCCAAGCTGTTTCCATTCACAAATGAGCTCGACCTGTAACGTGACTCTCCTACAGGAAAACCTGGCATTACCTAAATAAAGGTGGGGTTTATGTCAAGTTTATGACTTATTTTCACAGGCTTGTTACTACACCAGAAAAACCTTAAGTGCAGATTAAGTCCCAGGAGCAGAACTCCCAGTGAGACATTGTCCTAGAGAGTGACTGTCCAGAAATACATTTGTGCTGAACACACACAACAAGAGAAAACCACATTCCCTTTCTTGAATAGGACAAGTT